CGCTCCCGATCGTGATGTGTCGTGATGTTGCCATGTTCGCAACTTTGGATGGCAGGGGGCGCAGCTTTTACCCCCGCCGGCTTTCACGGGCCTGCCGCCAGCTTCCGCGGGCGTGCTGCCCTCAGGTCGGGCATGTCCTCCTGCAGGCGGATCTTGGAAGAAAACTTAGGAATAATCGGAAAAATAACCAAAAATTGTCAAACATTATCGAAAGATAACCAAAAATAGTCAAACAGTATCGAAAGATCGTTCCCATATTATTTTTGGATTACTCTTGGAATATTCCCTCTGTAGAGGGACATGCCCGATTTAACTTTCGATTCTTCGAAGGCGAGGCCGATACGCCGTTTGGAGACGCAACACGCACACCGTGCTCAAAGCGTCCGTGTCAATGCGTTCCGTACTGGCTCAGCGCAGTGGCCCACGTTTTGGCGAGCGTGTGGCGTCAAACCTACGTTTTCAGTCTACGCGTTGAGCTCCGTATCCGTACGCTGCGTGTTGCGTGTTGCGCATCGTGGCAGCTAAGTTGGCACCATGTCTGGATTACGGGTGTCTGTTGGCATCGCTCGGGCGTGTGCTGTTTTTATTTTTTGCGAGGACCATCGAGGAGCATCCTGGATCATCGCGCATACAAATGAAACAAACAAGCATCCCCCACAAAAAAACAATACAAAGCATAGAGAACAAAAAAAAACAGAATAAATATATCTAAATATACAGATATATATATATATATATATATATTATATATATATATATGTTTTTTTGAAGAAGAATAGAAAACAAAAAAACAAAAACACAAAAAAAAAAAAAAAAAAAAAAAAAAAAAAAAAAAAAAAAAAAAAAAAACAAAAAAAAAAAAAAAAAAAAAAAAAACAAAAACGGGGAATGGACGTCCGAGCGATGGCAAGGTCTGGCAGGAGTCGCTCGGCACCCGGCAGCACGCACGAGGGGATGAGGGCGGGGTGCCCTCTCGGAAGGCAGGGGCCCTCTGAGACCAAGCCCGCCCCCGGACCCCCGACGCCGTGGCAACAAAAAACGAGCACAAAAACACGCCAAAAAGAAGAAGAAGAAGAAGATGATGATGATGAAGAAGAAGAAAAACAAGAACGACATCAACTATCATTTTAAGATTGCTCGTTCTTGCCTGCTCGAGTGTCATTCAACGCGTATTTCCCAAACCCTCGATACCCGCCCTCTTCGTCTTCGATCGTCCCCTTTTTGGGGGGGTAGATTTTCCTTCCCTGCAGGCCGGGCCCCGGCAAGCGGCGGGGCGGCCGCGGACCGTCGGCCTGGCCAGCGGCAGCGCTGATCGGCGGAAGCCCGACCTTCAGAGGGACGGACAGGGGACCACGACGATGACGGCGGCGACGACGACGACGAGCGAAAGCGAGAGCGAAAGCGAGAGCGAGAGCGAGAGCAAGAGCCACAGCGGGGCCACGGAAGGGCAGCGAGGGGGCCACGAAGGGCGACAGCGGGGCCACGAAACGCACGCATATGGGGCCACGACGGGCGCGAATGATCGGGGCCACGAAGGGCATACATATATGGGGCCACGAAGGGCAACGGGCCACGAAGGTGCGCAACGGGGCCACGAAAGACAGCGAGGGGCCGCGAAGGGGTGCAAAGGGGCCACGAAAAGCAGCGAGGGGGCCACGAAGGGCAGCGAGGGGGCCACGAAGTGCAACGAGGGAGCCACGAAGGGTTGCAACGGGGCCACGAAGGGCAGCGAGGGGAGCACGAACGGCTGCAAAGGGACCACGAAGGGCAGCGAGGGGGCCACGAAGGGCGGCGAGGGGACCACGAATGGCTGCAGCGAGCCCACGAAGGGCAGCGAGGCGGCCACGAAGGGCTGCAACGGGGGCACGAGGGGCAGCGAGATTCCGATTCCTAAAGTAAGCTGTGAGGGAGTCGTACACGTGAGCGCGACTTTTGGGAGCCTGAGTGTCGGGAGCGCGGCGCTTGAGTAAATTGCGGGGAACTCCAACGCAAGAGCGCGCTTCTTGAGTAAATTGCAAGCACGTCGCCAGCGAGAGCGCGACTCTAGAGCGCCGGGAGAGCGATTCCTGCATCAATTATAAGGAAGTCCCAACGGAGAGCGCGACTCCTGAGTAAAATGCGAGGAAGTCTCTGGCGGGAGCGGGGGTCTGGGCTAAATTGTTAGGAAGTCTCAGGCGGGAGCCGTTGTTGTTGCAATCGGGGGCCAGGGGCGCAGTTTGAGCTTAGTGGCATTCCCTGATGAAAAACAGGGTGCGAGCCCCGGGGACTTCAATGTAAAAACACAATGGTCACCGGAAGGGGGATGAACGATAATCATTTCTCAGCATTGAGAGCTCTTCAACAAAAAACAAACATCAACAGCAGCAGCAGCAATAACAACAACAACAACAACAACAACAACAACAACAATAACAACAACAACAACAACAACAACAGCAAGAACAACAGCCACAACAGCAGCAACAGCAACAGCAACAGTAACAATAGCAGCAGCAACAATATCCATAGAAACAACAAACAGAAACAACAACAACAACAACAACAACAACAACAACAACAACAACAACAACAACAACAACAACAACAACAACAACCACCACAACAACAACAACAGCAACAACAATCAACAACAACAGCAACAGCAACAGCAACAGCACATACAAAACAAATCATATATATATATATATATATATAAGTGTGTATATATATACATATGATTCATAAACGCTGCAACGCGGCAGAGGCAGTCCGCACGCGCGTCGGACAAGCCGTGGCAACAAACAAAAAATTGGTTTCTCCGTCTTCTGCCTCTTGAGGGGCATCGCCAGGCCCTGGGGGACACTCACGGGGCCGCCCAGGATCCGAAGCCGGCCCTGGGGAGAGGGCCGGGACGTCGGGGGGCCCCGCAGTGCACAGCAAAGAAGAAGCAGCACATCGGACCTCTGGGCCAGCCTCGGGCCTCCCGACGTCGTGTTCTTGGCGCGTCGTGCACCCCGGGAGGCCTCGACCCCCTCCCCCGGGGCTCGCCAGTCTCGTCCCAGGCCGCTCTGCTGACGGCCACGTGGCCCAGGCGAGGCCCCGCGGCACCAGGACGCTGCCAAAGCCGCCCAGGAGGAGGCGAAGAGCGGGGGGGGGTGCTTCGACCCACGGCGGCAGTCTTCTGGAGGATTGGCGCCACGCCGTCTCGGCCCTGCGCTTGGTGTATGTGGCGGAGCCGCGGCCGAGCGGGGGCGGACGTGGGGGTGGAAGGGGGGCGGGGGAGTCGTCCTGGGTGCGCCAAGCAGGGGGCCATGGCCGAAGATCGCTCTGTCGCGACTCGTCCGGGGGTCTGAAGCCTCTGGGTCCTCGGGCCGCCCAGCAGGCCCGCGACCCCTGCCCGGGGGACCGCCCTTCCATCCCGGGTCGCCTTGCTGACGGCCGCGGGGCCTCGGAAAGGCGCCAGAGGAGGCCGCAGACGGCCCAGGGACCCGCGGCCGCGGTCTCTGCCACCCCCACGGGGTAGGGATGACGGAGACGCTCACGGGGACGCGGGAGGTGGTGGGGAGGAGGAGGAGGAGGAGGAGGAGGAGGAGGAGGAGCAGGAGGAGGAGGAGGAGGAGGAGGAGGAGGATCACTCTCTCTCTCTCTCTCTCTCGCTCTCTTTCTCTTTCTGCCCCAAACAGTGACTGCACTTACGGGTTCTTACTTTTGTTCTAACGAACTAAGCCGTGTCTTCGGTATGGCGGTTACGTGGCCGCCGTCGCCGCCCCGTTGCCGCCCGTCGTTTGGGCCGTGTCTTCGGCCTGGCGGCTATGTGGCCGCCGACGCCGCCCCGTCGCCGCCCGATTGTACAGTATAGCGTGCACAACATCGGTTGCACGACACATAGTGCACCACATAGATTGCACCGCATATATTGTTCAAAACATATGTTGCACATCGGATTTGCACAACAAAGACTGCACGCCATAGGTTGCGCAACACAGCTTGCACCACATAGGTTGCCCCACACAGATTTTACCACCTAGATTTGTTCCACGTAGATACCACCGCATGGTTTGCTAGAAACGCACTGTTTGGGGTCCGCGCCTGCTAATATGTATGCGTGTATAAATACATGTGCATATTGCGAAGGCCTTACGGCCAGTGCCGCCGACCCTGAATGGCGACGACGACGACGACGACGACGACGACGAGCGCTCTCGGGGGCCTCTTCGGGGTAGTTTGGGGGCCTCTTGAGAAGCTCTGGGGGGCCGCTTGGAAGCCTCGTGGGGGCCTCTTGGGGTCTCTGGGGGTCTCTTGGTGGCTTCTTTGGGCTTCTTGCGGGGCTTCTTAAGTACCTCTGGGGGCCTCCTGAGAGCTTCTCAGGCCGAGGGCTCGAAGTGTCCGTTCGGGTCCCCCGTCTGGGCTCCTCCTTGGAACCGTCTTGGGGGCCTCTTCGGCTGTCTTGAAGGCCTCTTGGTCGGACTTGGGGCCCTCTTGGGTCTTTTTGGGGCTCTATTGGAGGCCTCTTGGGCGATATTGGGGCGGTCTTGGGGGCTTCTTGGCCTGTCTTGGAGCGTCAGGAAGCTGACAAGGCGAGAATGCCGAAATCTTTCAAAAACGTAAGGGAAATCGATGATTTGTGCTCCTTGGGGAACTCTTGAGAGTGCCCTTGGAGTGGGAACTTCCGAAGCTGTCTGGAGGCTATCGCGATTTGGACCGATGCTTCGGCGATTCGGGTCCCTCGAGGACACTCTTGGGGGCATCTCGGGACACTTTCGCTACGTCTTGGCGATTGTCTGGGCTCCCGAGCCGCCAGGAGGGGAGTCGTACCTGACCCAGGACCCCCCCCCGGGATTTGCCCCGGGACCCCCCCCCCCAGCGGGGAAAGGATCAAAGGGAAGGGGCTTCCCTTCGACTCAACTACAGCGCTGCTCAATTTCGCAGTGGCTGGCGCGCTCGAGGAGGAGGGCCCGGTGAAACTGGAGGCAGCGGCGCCAGGCTCAGGGACCGGCGACGGCGACAGCGACGACGACGACAACAACGACCACGACGACGACGAGGACGAGTCAAACGGAACAGCCTCTTCCACACGCCGACAGGGTCGGCGGATGTATGTGTGCATGTATGTCTGTATGTATGCGTGTATGTGTATATATTATATATTATATATATATATGTGTGTGCGCATGCAGATAATACCATACACATACGGTATCCCTCATCTTCCTCCCTCCCTCAACCGTGGCTCTTGCCTGCTCCTCCAGGCCACCTATTCCCCCTTCATCCTCCCTCCCTCTCCTCCCCCGCCCTCCTTCCAACGCCTCCTCCGTCCACCCTTCCCCTCCCTCCCCCTGCCCCGTGGCCCCCTCCACCCCCTCCCTCGATCCCCGTCGTCTTCAATTATATTACACATCATAAATGCTGCTTTTCTCTCTCCGCTGACTCTGTCCTGAAGGTGTTACGACCTCTCCGCGTACTGCCTTTTAACAAACAATGTTACAAAGCTTATGCTCCCACGGCTTGTTACAATCCCATTGCTTCCGGCGTTTCAAAACGACATTTCCGCTGCAGCGTAGGCATCAGTTTCGGATCGGCGCTTTGCTCGCTTGGCGCTCTCGCCCCACCGCGGACCACATTCTGAATCCGAGCCCTTCTTTCTGAATCCGAGCCTTTGTTTCACGAAAGTGGCGACAGTTGTGCACATCGCAGCCACCCACGGAGCCGCGTGGTTCCACTTGGACCTGCATGGCCCTCGACCCCTCTGGACCTCCCAGGAGCCCGCGAAGGTGACGGCAGTTGTTGCGCAGTCGCGGGGTCCTCGCTCGGCTGCGCGTACACCTCCATACCGGTGGATCTCCCAGGATCCCACGAAAGTGGCGAACAAAATGTTGCACCACTTTTGCTGTGCATTGGCACCTGTACTGCATTGCTCTTGCCCCCCCCCTTTCCCCCCGATCTCAATGTTGGGTGCATGGCGAAGAGCCCCTGTTCCGCCCGGGGGCTCCCGACAAAATGTTGCACCACCGAGCTGTTTCGACCATCCGAGACCGAACCCAATATTGAGATCGGGGGGGAGGGGGGGGGGGGCAACAAACGATTGATATAACAGCGATGCGATTTATTGTCAGCGCCAGGTGGTGCAACATTTTGTCGATGTACTGTACACTCAGATCGCAGGGAGCCGCGTGGTCTCGTTTGGATGCGCGTACACCTCCACCCCAGTGGACTTCCCAGGAACCCACGAACGTGGCGACCGGTGCGCGGTTCGCAGCCACCCATGGCACCGCGAGGTTTCGTCTGGGTCCGCGTGCACCCCCGCGTCCGCTGGGCGCCCCGCGAGCCCACGAAAGTGGCGCCAATCTTATTTCCCATCCTCCGCCTTACCCTGGTCCTCCTGCTCCTCCCGTTTCTTCCACTCCAGCTCCTCTTGCTGCTGCTGCTGTTGTTCGTCATCGTATCACCCTTCCTCATCCTCCTGCTTGTCCTCCTGATCATCCTCCATCCCCTCCTCCTATGTACGCAGAGCTCCCATTGCGCATGACACGATGGGGTCCTCTTTGGAGTTCCATGTTCGCTATGACACGCGTCGGCGGGTAGAGAAAAAACAGCGCAATGGGAAGGGATGGGTGCGAGGGTCAGGATGTCAGACATGGCGCGAGCGCACCTAGCTTGGCCCTCCCCCCTCTCCCCCCCTCACCGCCCCCCCCCTCTGCGAAGCGAAGCCTCACAGAGCGCACACCGTTCCTCTCCACGACGGCCAGCCTGTCTTGTCTCACAGCTGGCTCCTCCAAGGGCTGTGCACTAGCACGCTGCACGAGACGAGAGAGAGGGAAAGGTGGATGTAGGATTGGGCTCGTAAAGGTATTGAGAGATGGCAAAGCGAGGGGGTCACTCTTGACCCTGGGGCTCCTGAGGCCCCACTGAGGGCCTGCAGCCACATGGATACGGACGAAGCGAATCACTGTGCATCGAGAAATCGCCACCCTCCCCGCCACTTCCCCCTCCCCCTCCCTGCCGCAGCCGTTCTGAACTCCTGTGTCCTCGCGCCACCGGCGCCGACCGAGGCAGAACCCTGCGCACTCGCCCCCCCCCCACCTCGGGCGCTGCCAAGGGTGCCCCCTGGCCCACGGCGTCCCCAGCATCCCCGAGGAGGCCCAGAGGGCCCCCGGGGAGCACCCCGGACGAGGCCCAGGCAGACTGGCGCGAGAGCCTGGGGCGGGGACCCCCTTGGGCCAGGACCACCAGTGGCAGCACCCGACGATCGCGCCCGCCTCCGGGCTTCTCAGGCCGCCCATGGCTCTCCGGATGGCGCTCGCCCGCGGCGGCTCCCCGGACGACGGCTGGGACGCACTAGCGGCGCACCCCTCGGCGCCCCGCGACCGCGGCGCGGACAAGGGCGCCTGCTGGCCGTGCCCCACGGAGGACGACCTGCCGACCGAGGTCGGCGAGGACGACCTCCTCCCCGCCCGGCTCGCGACGCACGAGTCCTCCACCTGGTGCTCCGACGACGACGGCGGGGCGAGCGACGCGCCGGAGGAGAGTCCCCCCCTGGTGCGAGGGGGCGGTCACGGGGCAGCGCTATAGGGGGAGAGCGTTGGAAGTTCCATCCGGGCCTACCAAGGGGTTCTGGGGTTGATGGGGTTCTGATGGGCCAAAACGAGATCCCAAATGACACCCCCTCGTTGGAATTGCGGAGGGCTTGAGATTTCTGAGTTGAGGTTTTGATCGTCTCATCCTGTGCGTTTCTCTCAATCGAAAATCGAATTCGCCCCTCCTCAATCCAGGTCTTCCCTGTCCTTCCTCTTACTGTAGGCCTCTCCAGCCCACGCGAGGTCCTCAACGCAGGCCCCCTTATGAATTCCCCCCCCGCCCCGCGTGTAGCCCGCCTTCCCAATAATGAAAGAGCCTCATATGTTCCACCCCAATCCCTTCATCATCTTCTATGCCAACGCTCCGCCTCTTTCTCCTCGTCCTCGCACGTTGTCTGGGGTGTGCCGAGATGAGGTTTTTAGAACAAGCGGTCGTATCTACACGTAGGCGCGCGCGCCGCAATGTATAAAGAGGCGCAGGGGGATCATATCCCACTAACGGCAAGAACGTAGGCCAACGCATTCGGTTGCGAGACCTTGGGGGCCTTATCCACTAAGCCGCTCACAAAAGGTAGGGCCCGAGGCATTAGACCATTCCTGACGTCGAAGTGTGTCTCGGATTGGTGATTTCGGCATCCGACCCGAGCTCATCCCCCGACGGCTTTCAGACAGTCCCAACAAGGGCCGTGAGACCGTGAGATCCCCTCTGTCTGAAACGCCGCGCCACGTGTCATTCGTTCCGCAACCGTTTTGGCTCAAACACGTTTCGGCTGTGAATGCCGCCATCTTCGTCAGACGAAGATTTCCTCGGGGCCGAGATCGAGGCCCCTCACGTTCCCAACGTAGATTTCATTGGGCCCGAGGTTGCAGATATTGACAGGCTCTCCTCCGACGAAGACTCCCTCGGGCCCGAGGTTGCAGATATTGACGGCCTTCCAGAGATTGCTGGAGATCCTCTTGCTCTGGCGGAGCCTGCCCCGCAAGTTCAATTGCTGGAGATCTGCACTGCGGCCGCCTACCAGCCAGCGCCAGTGCACAAGCGGGGCAGGCGCATCATTGATCGGACGACGCGAGAGTTGGTTTCTAGAGGTCAGGTGTTGCGTCCAGAGCAATGTTCGGAAGGCGTGCCGAAGCTAGTTGCTTACCTCTTGGGCGCCAGTGGCTCGGATCGTTCCTCGTCGATGGTGGCGACTGCGGAGAAGCTCAGACAAGCAACTGGCGTTTCTAGATCTCATGTCAATGAGTTGTGCGGCGCCATTGCGCATTGTTTGTACCAGAGTTTGAAATTTTCATTCTCGAGGTTTGCGAAATCAGTTATGGACATCTCATCCCAGCGGTGTTTCGAGAATGATGAGGGCCAGGCTGCAACGATGACGGCAGCCATCGAGTTCAGATTCAGGAGCTACGACGGCACGCGCCAGTGGGTTCGAGTTGAAAATGAGTCTGATGCTCAGCCTGGTGCCGTCTCGATCGAGAGCACGGGCGCGAAGTATGAGGTCCTCGTTGCTGCCGCTGCTCGGGCTTTAGTTTTGTGCAAGAAGGTTGGCGATACCAGACAGTGGTTGACATTTATTGTGCATGAGCCGACTCTTCTCCAGGTGTCCGACGGCACCAAGGCGGAATCGATCGATGCTGGCTTGAAGCACTTGTCGACTGACCAGGATGCGTCTCTCGACCGCAATTTCATTCGGAATGTTGACGTTGTCATCACAGACGAGCACGGCGCGAACCTACGCTATGAGAACTCCGTCAGGGACCGCAACCGAGACCGTGCCGCATTGCAGATTATTTGTGACGCACACAAGAAGATGAAAGTCACGATTCTCGGCAGTGAGATCCAGAGACCAGTGGATACCCTAATCATTCGGATGCAGTTATCAATGAGAGGGAACATCCCCAAACTTTTGAATGCCATGCGAGATTTGCTGGAAGAGCGACTCGTTGTCATACAGCATGGGCAGCTTTCTGATTCAGATTTTCAGTATAGCAAGCGGGTGTTCGACACATTTTTGCCAGAGAGGTCTTCTGCTGATAAGTTCAGGCGACATCTTATCACGAGGCTTTGGAACGGGAGTTTGCGCAGAGCAGATAGGGTTGAACATCGCTGTCATGGTTGCTGCGCGTCCAGGGCACAGACGTTGTATTTGATGAAAACATGTGGGCTCAAAGCACTGTGCAAGCATATGGCCACTGTGATGGACAGGCAGAACTGGACGGGCGCGCATCTCAGCGTCGGCGGGCTGTGCCTCCCGTCTTTCGTTCACAATCTGTTGCCCGATGCGTACATCAGAGTGTTCTACGGCACGGTCCCCCTTCAGGTTGGCGACGGCGCGGATGGCGACGCGGCCGTCGGCCTGCCAGTCAGCGGCAAGTCAGGAGAGGACGAGCTGAAGGGTGCTGACGTTTCTGTGTGGCGAGAAGACAAGGAAGCGAAGATTCCCCGTACGCTTCAATGGTTGACAAGTGGATCTTTTCACGACGATGTATTTGTATATGCAGTGTCCCACGAACCGTGCAGCATCATGATGTTGAGAGAGTTGCAGCGTGCTGGAGTTGATTGGGAAGTCAAGCAACAACGCGAGCTTCTCCGCACAGGCTCGAGGTCATACCCAATTTGTGAGGCGGCTGATCGACATGATGTTTCAGAGCTCCTTGGGACGATTGGTAAGTTTACGTTCGAGGATGGCCACTGGGATCTGCTGTCGAAAACTACAGAGGAGACACAGTTGCAGGTCTTCGCATTGCGTGCTCGCCTGTCGGCCAGTGCTTACCAGCTGCTTGAGGTTCGGCATCGCAACTACCCTTACAAAACTTTCTCTAGCCTTCGGAATGCCAACGAACTTCACGAGATCGGTGAGGTGCCGACGTGCACGCTGGATGATTACACTGAGAACTTCGTTCGTTTTTATAAGCCACGTGGCGGCGTTGCTGGAGACATGGCCCGTGCAGAATTGGGTTATCCTTTGACGCTCCTGGTGACGAACACGTCCTCCATCGAGCGGACCCACAGCGAGAACCAGATGCAGAGCGGATCCAGGCTATGTGATGACGCAACGGGCGACGAAGACACGGGCACGGGATGGTAGGAGGATTGGTTTTCATGACGGGAGGTGGACTGTGGAGGGGTGACTTGAGCCAGGCGCGGAGGAGGAGGAGTGAGGGGGGAGGGGAGGGGGGGAGGAGGATGAAGAGGCCCTTCCCTCGCTCCTCTCAGGCAGTTTACTTGGGGATTGGATGCACCATCACTCTCTGGGTTTTTCCTAATCCGACAGATGTGGAAATGGCAGCGGTCTGTGTTCAACAACTGGCGTGACGAGTCGTTCAGGACACGCCGAGAACGCCAGCGCCAGGAGGAGCGAGCTGCCCAGCCGCAGAACCTGGCGAAGTGGGTCTGGCGCGCCTTCGTCCACCTTGAGGGCGGCGGTCGCTTGATGGACCACGCGACAGGCATAGCCTTGTCCGCGCGGTTTCGGGCTCTGACTGCAGAACAGAGGCAGCCTTACGAGGACTTGGCGCGGGTCGCCATCCAGGAGCACGTGGCTGGTCGGCGAGCCCTGGCGACCCAGAGGCCATCGCGAGCCCGAGCGCTGGGCCACACTGGCCAAGTATTGGTTGCTGCTGCTGGCCATGACGCGGGCGACCGCGCCCTGGCGGAGAGCGCTGCCTTCGCCCATGAGAGCGTCATCTTGCGAGCGCCCCTGGTCGAGCGGCAGCGGCACAAGGCCCAGCTGGCGAGGGAGCGAGCTGAGGTCGAGGGCGCAGCCGACGACCTTCGCCGCGAGTCTACTCGCGACGTTGCGGCGCTGGCGCGGGACTGGCACGTGGTCAGCGGCGGCATGCCACAGTCTGCATCTGGTGATCTGTCTGTCCACCGTACTTTGGTGCCTGCGATGGTGTACTCCAGGACGCCTGACTCCCTCGCGTCCGAGGTCTTGAACGCGCTCGACACCAGCTCCACGCAGGTCGAGAACGACAAGTGGAAGAGGATGCACCCGCTCTTTTCCGAGGCAGGCTGCCGAAGGCTGCACGCCCCGACGAGGCCCGCGCGGCAGTGCTGGCTGGCCGAGTATTGCGTGTGCACAGGGCCCTCCGTGATCGCCAAGACGTTTCATGACAGGATGCGCGTGGTTTGGCGCGTGCTCGACCACCAGCTCGGGTCCAAGGTATTCGCGGAGAAGCTTTTACTGGGCCGCTTGGTCCTGGAGGTTACCATCGAGGGCCTCTCGGCGGCGCCCCTGGAGCCCGCGCCCGACCCATCGGCGCTGGAGATCGCCCGCGACCTCCCATCGCTCACGCTGTTGTACCACGTGTCCCTTCATTACGCGAGGCCGTGGAGGCCTACGTTCTCGAGGATGCAGTGGGAACCGCGCGAGCATCGCCCTGGATGCATTGGGATTGCGCCCATGCGGAACTTGGATGCGGCGTCTCCTGCGTTCCGCCATCTGACGATCTACGAGGTTGCCAAGGACTGTTTCGATGAGATGTGGACCAAGCGCCCGATACAGGTAGGCGTGTACGAGCTGCATGCTGATCGCCGTCGGCTTGTCCGCTGCCAGCCAGCTCGGCAGCGCGCGCGGGGGACCCCACTCTTGGTGTGCGACTTGTGGAGCGTGCCTCCCCCTCCTCCGAAGCTTCGGAAGAGGAAGACCGCTGCGACAGCCGATGGGACAAGGCCTGCTAAGCGCGCAGCTGCCGCCATAGAGGCAGGCGCGACGCACGACGATGACAGCGGGGCCGACTCTCCTGGCGTCGGCGAGGTTGATGTTCCCGCAGCGGTTGCCGACGGCGCCACGCAAGAACGCGTGGACATGAGCCTAGATGAGGAGTGCGACCTCTTCGGCGATTTCTCTTCTGAGTCGGACGTCGAGCCGAACCAGGATTCACGGGATGGCGCCGACCAGGGCGATGCGGCTTGCGGCGCCGCTGTGGATCCAGTGCCGCTGCCCC